TTTTTTTAAATAACTTGTTGTTGTTGAATCCCGTAGGGTGTCCTAGGCTGTAATCTTCACGGGAGCAATCGCCAGGTCTTTACCCCTCCGAGCCACCAGGCTGGGTGAGAACCAACAACCTTTCAGTTAGCAACCGAGTGCTTAACCATTGTGCCACCAGGGCTTCTTGGAAGTAGCAGAGAGGGGGTTTACACCCAGGCTCATCAGACTCTAAAGCAGGCTCTGTCCGCCACCCCAGGAAACCAAGGAAGCCCCTCAAAGGGTGGCGGGGAGCCCCTGGGAGAGGTCACTGCTCTAGGGCAGGGATAGGGCACTGGGCCTCCTCAGGCCCCCAGTGGCCTGCATGACGTCAACTCCCCAGGGGACCGCAGGATTTGTCTGGTCTCTAGCAAATTCCAGCAGTCTGGTGGAGGGGTGTCCCAAGAGTGGGGAGTGGCAGAAGGGTCAGGGGACAAGGGGATCATGGTGGCATTCATCTGCTCACTGAAAACAGCTGATCATGAAGTCCAATGTAGTGAGGAGACAGGAGAAGCCAAAACAGGGTGGAGGGGGACTGGGCTGAGGGGGAGGGGTGGGGAGATGCCGCCCCTCCTTCATGTCTCCCTTGCTCTGCACATGCTGTTCCCTCTGGTAGCATCTCCTCACCTGCTCCCTTCTTCTCCTCCAAGGGCAAGGTCAGATGTCCCCTTGTCCCACCTTGGCCACCCTCCTTCCAATCTCAGCTCCCTCTTCTGGTCCCCGAGGCATTAGAAACCAGATTTTCTGAATGCTGACTAGGACACATAGGCTGAAGAGTCACACGTTCTGGTTCCTCCCTTCTTTCATTCCTCCGTGGTCTCATCCAGTCTCATGGCCCTAAGAACCGTCATGATGCTGACTGCACTGCAATTGCCTCTCCAGCCTGGACCTCTCCCCTGAGCTCCAGACTCCTACTCCCCACTGCCTCATGAACGTCTAAAAAACATCTCAGACCCAACCTGGCCAAAACGGAATTCTTGATCTTCCCAAGCTCTTGACCCAAACCTGTTTGTACAAAGTCATCCACGTCCCAGTTGATGCCACTCCATTTTCGCAGTAGCTCAAGCCAAAAACCCTGAAGGCATCTTGACTCCTCTGTTTTCCCTCACACCCCACATCTAATCCGTCAGCAAACCCTGTTGGCCCTGCCTTCAATACATGTCCAGAATCCCTTCTCCCACCTCTACTGCTGCCTTGCTGCTACAAGCACTTTCATTTCTTGCTTTGATTATAGGGTGGCCTCTGTACTGGTCTTCTTCTTTTGACTTGGCCGCTAGGCTCTCTTCTCAACTCAGCAGCCAGAGTGGTCCTGTTAGTACATTAAACAACCACAAAACAGTCAGTTCCAACACATAGCTACCCCATTTGTGCAAAGTAGAACTGCACTCTATAGGGTTTTCAAAGCTGTGACTTTTCAGAAGCAGATTGCCAGGTCTTTCTTCCAAGGCACCTCTGAGTGAATTCAAACCGCCAACCTTTAGGTGAGTAGTTGAGTGCTTAACTGTTTGTGCCACCCACAGCACAATATGACATATGCCAGTCATACTGCTCCTCCACTCAAACTCTCCAAAGGCCTCCCAGTTCACTCTGAGTCCCAAAGTCTTTCAAAACCTATAAGTCCTAAATGACCTCCCCCACCTCTGATTTCACCTCCTACTATCCTCCTGCTGAAGCCCTGGTGGCACAATGGTTAAGAGCTTGGCTGCTAACCAAAAGGTCAGCAGTTTGAACCTACCAGCCCTTCCTGGGAAACCCTATGGTGGGGGGGCAGTTCTACTCTGTCCTATAGGGTCGCTATGAGTTGTACTCAACTCAACTGCAATGGGTTTGGTTTTTGGTATCCTTCTGCAGGCTCACTCTACTCTAGCCACACTGTCCTTCTTGGGTTCCTCAAGCATTCCAGGCATTAGAGATTTTGCACTCTCTGTAACCCTGCCTGGGTTGCCCTTCCCCCAGATATCCACAGGACTCCCTCGCCTCCTTCAGATCTTGACTCAAATATCACCTTCTCATGTTTGCCTGCCCAGAGCATCCTAATTAAAACTATAAACCTTGACCTTTCCTGTCCGCTTCCTTGCTTTATTTCCTCCACTGCACCTATATCATCTGCTATACTAAGTATTTGACCTATTTATTACCTGCTTCCCCTTCTAGAATACAAGTTCGATGAGGTCTGTGCTTTTTCTATTGGCCGTTGTTTTCTTTGCTGCCTAGAACCGAAAAACCTATTGTCGTCAAGCTGACTCCAGCTTATGGTGACTCTGTGTCAGAGTAGAACTGTGCTCCATCGGGTTTTCAGTGGCTGATTTGTCAGAAGTAGATCGCCAGGCCTTTCTTCTGAGGTACCGCTGGGTAGACTTGAACTTCAAACCTTTCGGTTAGCAGCCAAGCTTGTTAACCGTTTGCGCTGTTCAGGGACTCCCTGCTTAGAACAGCCCCAAGCGTATGGCAGGCACTCGACAAATGTTGATTGAGTGCCTGTTTGGGGGCCGCACACTACACCGAGCACTGAAGATGGTGAGCAAAACCGGACCAAGTCCCTGAAGCTTAAGTCTTGAGCAGCGGTTCCCTAATTTTCAGCGGTTCATGTGTATGACCCTGCCTGGGGAGCTCTTAGAAATGAAGACTCTGGCCTCACCCGTGAAGGTTCCCGGATAGCCCCAGGAGTTTGCACACTGCACAAGCTCCCCACGTGATTTCTGAAGCAGGTCGTGTGGATGTCACACTCTGGTCTGCCGGAACGGAAATTAACACTGTGTTGGACATCCGATGTCTCGTTTAATGGTACTATTTAATAATACCATTCACTCTCCATTAAACAGTTATTACATGCCTGTCTTCACTGTTTAGAAGCGAAGACAGGCATGAAGTTTTGGGCTGCCATGGCATCTCGCTCCTCTCTGTGTCTCCTGGACTCAGCGTAGAAGCTAGGAAATGCGAGAGGCTAGTTATTGCGAGAGCGAGTGAATGGAGGGTGAGTGAATGGTTAGAAGATGGATGAATGAAAAGCAGGACCCTGATTTAGAAAAGGAATTTCAAGAGCTCAAGATCTATAAGGTGGGAGTGCTTCCAAAGACCTCCCCTGTGCCTGAGAGGGGTGCAAGAGGGGCAGGTCTTTCAGAGGTAGTGACGCCGGCTGCTGCCGCCTGGCCCGGGGACACGCTGAGCGCAGGGGCGGTGCTGCCACCCACCCAGCTGCCCAGCGGCGTGCTTCTCCAAGCTGGGGGGCGCGGCCAAGGCTGGCGCGGCCGTTGCCATAGCTACAGACACAGCCTGGAGAGTAGGGGGCGGGCCCCAGGCGTACGCGTCATTCCTAGCGCGACACTCCTCGGCGCCTCCCGCCTCTTTTTAGTGACAGACCCTCGGGCCCGCCTCCAGGGCTCTCCACCTGCGCGCCTTCCCGGGCTTGTCCCCACTGCCCGGTTCTGCGCCGGCGCGGTGCCCGCGAGGGTGCGCAGGGGAGCCCGCGAGGCGCATGCGCGCTGCGGGGCCCGCCGCCGCTGTGGTGTCGCTGCTGTATCTGTTGCCGCCGTTGCCGCCTCCCTGCCAGCAAGTGTGTGAAGGAACTGAGGGTCGCCGTCGCCATCGCCACCATGGGGGTGAGTGAGGTCGGGAGAGGAGACGGAAGGCCCAGGAGCGCTCCTCTCTCTACCCTAGCCCCCTTTGCCCCCATTGTTCCTTGAACCCCTTCTCACGTGACGCCGACCCCCTTCGGCCTCACGTGACCCCCAGTCCCCACATGACCCGACTCCCCCATTCTAAGTGTCTCACCGCTCGGCCTAGCCCGGGACCTCCCTGGGGAGCCTCCTCGGGCCCCCCCTCGGGGTCCCCCACCCTCGCATCCCGCCCTCCCCTTCCTTCCTCGTTGACCTATTATCCTCGTGGCCTCCCCTCCCCCACCTCTGTCCCTGAGGTCACCTCCCCTAGTCTTGAGGGGTCACCCACCACCTAGCTGTCACTGACTTCGCGGCTTGCTAGATCGTAGGCCACCCCTGGTTTGGAGGGAACTGAGGCCCAGACAGAGGAGGGCACCCAGCCAAGGTCACAGGGCAGTTACTGGGGAGACAGACCCCATCCGAGTGTCTTGAATCTCAGTCCGTCGCGCTTCCCGCTACCCGGACTCTCAGCGACGCCGGCGCCTCTACACTTTTGTAAACCTCTCCGCCAGCTTCCTCCTCAGACATTGTCTTCTCTTCCAGCAGAGGCCTGCTCCCACCGCCCCTTAGATGCAGGGGAGTGGTTCACATTATTACTTGGGTTGTTGGTGGTCTTATTACTGAAGGTGGCTTGGTGGGGGGAAGCTGTGCAGAAGGTATGTAGGGGCAGATGGGGGGGGCACTACTGATGGCCTCAGCGCCCGTGGTTACTGAGCACCCGCTCCGTGCAAGGAAGGCTGGAGATGCATCTCAGTGTCCTTCTTGGTCTGTGCCGGTAGAAGGTTCCGCAGAAGTTACTAGCGTGTTTCTCTTACTTGGCTCCTATCGGCCACCCTTTTAGAAATGTACCTGGCTCTGCATGGTATTATCTGTAGTAGTTGTTGTTAGGTGCCATCGAGTTGATTTCAACTCATAGTAAGCCCTGTGACAGAGTAAAACTGCTCCATATGGTTTTCTAGGCTGTAATCTTTACGGAAAAGGGGCCCTGGTGGCGCAATGGTTAAAGCACTCGGCTGCTAACTGAAAGGTCCGAGGTTCGAACCCACCAGCCACTCCACGGGTGAAAGATGTGGCAGTCTGCTTCTGTAAAGATTTACAGCCTTGGAAATCCCATGGGGTAGTTCTTTGCTCGGTAGGGTCGCTAGGAGTCGGAATTGACTTGACGGCAATGGGTTTGACTTTTGGTTTAGTTAATCTTTACGGGAACAGATGGCCAGGTCTTTGTCCCGAAGAGCTGCTGAATGGGTTCAAACTGCCAACCTTTCGGTAAGCAGCTGAGTGCTTAACTGTTGTGCCACCGGGGCACCCTTCTGTATTAGTATTTACATGGAATTTCCATCATCTTTAGGGAGCCCTGACTTTGGAGCCCTAGATACCTGGGTTCCAGCCCCATCTTTGCTCACTAGTCTCATAATCTTGTGCCGGTGATGTGGCTGTTCTGGATTTTACTGTTCTCATTCATGTAATGGGAATGATAATCTCTCCCCCATTGGGTTGTGATGAGGATTAAATGAGATAACAGATGCAAATAGCCAAGTAGGTGCCTGATAAGCAGTGGCTGTTATTTTTGCCTGTAATTCTCAGCCTTCACTTTGGTTATCTAAAATAGATTTGTGCTATTTTTAACCCATTGGGTTTGTCCCTACTGTTATCAACCTAGATTTTTTTCCTCACTCAAAACTTTATTGACTGAACAAATCCACTGTTAGACAAAAGTGGTCATCTAATCCATGTCAAAACACAAGTATTCATCTTGTTTCATCAAGGTGTTTTGGATACAACGTGCTTCGTTATGTAGAAAATCTCGAGTGTGGAGAAGTTAGGTGTATTTAACCTAGATTTTGGTGTAAGCTTCCAGACCCCAGCTTTTGCCTAACCTAAGTGAAGCCCATGTCCCCAGTTTTGCTCGGTAAGTGTCTACCCAGCATCAGCCACTACATACCGAACAGAAGACAAGAAACATAACGTGCCATTCTGGTTCAGCACTTCCTCATTGGCTGAGTTGAACTGGCAGGTCCTAGAGACACTGTACGAGCCCTGGTGGCACAATGGTTAAGCACTCGGCTGCTAACCAAGAGGTTGGCGGTTTGAACTCACCAGCCACTCCGAGGGAGAAAAGACCTGGCAATCTGCTCCAGTAAAGATTACAGCCTAGGAACCCTATGGGGCCATTCTACTCTGTCCTCTAGGGTCGCTACGAGTCGGAATCGGCTCGATGGCACACAACAAGAGCTACTGTGATCCTTGCAGTATCGTATACCTTCATGCTTTTCAGACATGTTTCTCAGAGGGGGTGCCTCCAAAGTCTATTCTGGCTAAAACTCACTGCATCAGACAGACTTGAATTTTCCTCCCTGAAACAGCCAGAACACCCTGGCTACCCTCATTCCTCGTCAGAGGGGGCACCCCACCTCAGTGTCGGGAAGGTCATCGTTCCTAGTGATCACCCTCTGCCAGGGGCCTTGCTCTGTTGGACAGCCTGGCCTCAGGCAGAGGAGAGAGTGGCATCAGCTGGAGCACCACTCTCGTCAGAGTGCTTTCACCTTTGCTGCTGCACGTGCGTCGTCTTTTAGGCGTTGGAATTTAGATCTTTGTCTCCCTTCACCAAAAACAGGTTCTTTCAGGTCCTGGATACTGTGTGGGATGGACCTGAAAATCCAAGAGGTGCCAAGTTTGCTTTGCTGAAAGGTGCCCTCTGGCCCCACCTGGATGTGTTGTAATTTCTCTCTGTGACCCCTAGCAGTGAGAGAAGTGCACGTGGAGACACTAATCTTGCTAGGAATAGGAAGGGAGGAGGTTCATAGCTGCAGATGTTTCTATAGTACATTATAACAAGAAGAGTGGAAAAACCTGTAGCCATGAGTTGATTCAGACTCTTAGTGACCCCATGTGTGTCAGAGTAGAACTGTGCTCCATAGAGTTTTCAAGTGGCTGATTTTTTGGACCCGTGGTTTCACTTAGCAGCCGAGTATGTTAGCCGTTTGCATGTACATAGGGACTCCTTATAACAAGAAGTGCCGTAGAAGTCTCATTGTGATGTAGTGGAAGGAGCACGACCTTAGGCACAGACCCCGGATTTGAACCAACAGTTAGTTAAACTGCATGCCTCCTGCTTGCTGAGCACTGGGTAGACATTGGTGACTCAAGGCAGATGGGCCTCTGCCTCATGAGTATATAGTCTGGGAGGGCAGGAGGGGGCTAGGAAGACCTCTGAGAATGTGACAGTGAAGCCAAGAACTCAGCTCACTGCCTCTGTGCCTCAGTTTTCTCATCAAAGAAAGGGGAGCGCATGCCTTCCTGAGTTGTAAAGATTAAAATAGATCACCTTACATTTTCCACCTCTGGGGTTTACTGGGTGGGAGAAAGATGTAGCAGTCTGCTTCTGTAAAGATTACAGCATTGGAAACCCTATGGGGCAGTACTGTTCTGCCCTGTAGGGTTGCTAAGAGTCAGAATCAACTTGATGGCAGTGGGTTTTTTGTTTTGGGGGTTATTGGGAAGCTACTTTCCCACTAACAGTATGTGTAGCTGTTAGGAGGGGACCTGTATAACTGAAGTGGAATGTGCTGCAAATTACTGTTTTTACAGAGTATTGTATGAGGCATTGCATCCTGTAGGGTCATATGTGTCCCAACAACCCTAAACCAGAGTCTGCCTGGACATATGCATCCCACTAATCCTACCCCCAGCGTCCAGTGGGACATACGCATCAACCAAAGTTCAGAGGGACAATATCTGTCCCACTAATCCTACCCCCAGAGTTCAGAGAGACATACTTGACACATTCAGACACACTCAATGATTCGGCGTGCATTCCATTAATGAAAAAAAAATTATCAACAAAAAAAATTTTTTATTTAATTGGGTCATGAAAGGGTTAACCTACTGGCAGAACACCTGACACGAGTGGGTTCTTGTAAACAGAAGTCGTTAGTTACCATAAAGAATTCTTATATCCAGTACATTACATCATTTTATCCTCACAACAAGCCTGTGAGGTGCAGGCATTGTTAGCCCCTTTTTACAGATGAGGAAACTGAGGTTCCAAGAAACTGAATGACTTGCCCAAAAGAGATTGAATAAATTGCCCAGAGTCACACAGCTATTTAGTGGAAGAGCTGAGAATCAAATCCAGGTCTCTAGACTCAAAATCCCACATTCTTTTTATTACAGAAGGCTCCCTTGGGGAAGACATTCAACCATAGTGAGCTTTTCTGTTCACTGTGCTTATTTCGCATTTTAATTGGGAGAATCTTCCTGTGTCCCTGCAGGACGGCCTTACCTCCACAAGGCAGGGGCAGTGCTGATTGGAACAGTAGGGACCACTTTTCCTGGTGCGCTGGGTTGAGGCAGAGGCCCTGGCTGTCTCTGGGCAGCCTGCTGCAGGCTGCAGCCTGCTTGCTGCCCCAGGTGCACACAGCCGTGTGCTAAGGGGCTCTTTTATTATCTGCAGTCTCGGGCCATGGCAATCCTAAGCTGCACCCTGGGGATTGCCTGGCTCACCAGTTCCTGTGCATGAATGAGCCCATAAATCTCCTGGAGGCCTGGGGCTGGCCCTCCTGCTGCTTGTGCTTACGAATTAGACTCAGACATACTTCATGTGCTTGGAAACGAGATGCCACAGGGAGAACCTAAGGTTCTGTGCTTCCTGGGTCCCAGGAGTCACACTTCCTTCCCACGCTTTCACTCCTTCAGTGCTGCGTTGGGCTGTGAGAGCTGGCATTCACTGGGAAGGGATGCTGGCTTCCACCCCGCCCTTACAGCTGTTCGGTGAGGCGGGCATTGCGCCTCGTTTTCCCGGAGGTCGGGTTGCTTTCATGAGTCCTGCAGGGGTGCAGGAGGAGCACCGCCCGGTCGGATGGATGCCCCAGCTCATGCTCTTTCAGTCCGGTGTGCAGCCCTGAGACCTTCCACCCAGAGGTTCCCTTTCTCCTCACATCTCCCTCAGTGTGGGGGGCAGGGCCTAGGTGTCACTGTGTTGGCAAGTCAGCCGGAACCAGGCGAGAGGGACAGTGAGAGTGAGTTGCGGAGTGGTTGCCTGAGGGTCCCTAGGGCCCCAGGCCTTATCTTGGCTGGGGGGTGATAGTGAGTGGAAGTGTTTACACCGTGGATGGAGGCCCTCGCAGGGGGAGACCGTGTGGCTGGTGGAACAAACACTGGATCAGTGGCCCAACTGCTGGGATCGAGTCTCCTCTCTGCCACATACTCTACGAGTCGTGATGTCCCTTCCAGCCTCAGTTTCTCCTTGTGTAAAGAGAGGTGGCAGTTTCTTCCCTGAGAATTGAACAAGATAATGTTTGTGAAAATCTTTGCAAGCTGGGTCTCCCAATGTTATATTTTTTATGTGTATATAATTTTATTTATTTTGTTGTTGTTGAGAATTTACACAGCAAGACATACATCAATTCAACAATTTCTGCATGTACCATTTAGTGATGTTGATTACATTCTTCAAGCTGTGTAACCATTCTCACCCTCCCTTTCTGAGTGGTTCCTCTCCCTTTAATGTAAACTCACTGCCCCCTAAGGCTCTTATCTAATTTTTCAAGTTGCTATTGTCAATTTGATCCCATATAAATAGTTCTTAAAAGAGCATATTGCTCAAGGCAGGCTTTTTTTTTAAAAAACTAGTAGGAGGACTTCAGGGGATATTTTTGGTTTAAAGTTTAAAGATGATCTCAAGGCAGTAGTTTCAGGGATTCATCCACCCTCCATGGCTCCAGAAAGTCTACAGTCCATGAGAATTTGAAATTCTGGTCTGCATTTTCCCCCTTTTGATCAGGATTCTTCTATGGAATCTTTGATCAAAATGTTCAGTAATGTTAGCCGGGCCACCGTCCAGTTCTGGTCTCATGGCAAGGGAGGCAGTTGTTCATAGTGGTAATTAGCCACACATTCCATATCCTCCTCCTGTTCCTGACTGTCCTTCCTGCTCCATTGTTCAGGCAAATAGAGACTGATTGTTGTGCCCTGGATGGCTACTTGCAAGCGTTTAAGATCCCTGGTGCTATGCATCAGAAGTAGGAGGTAGAACAGAGGCACTAAACACGTTATTAGGCCAATTAACTGAGATGTCCCATGAAATCATGACCCTAAACCTCCAAACCAAGAAACCAAATCCCATGAGGTGTTTGGTTGTACATAAGCAGCCTCAGCAGCTACTCTTTTTTTTGTTGTTGTTGTTATAAATATATGTATCATACAGCTTTTGCCAGTTCAACTTTTTACAGGTGTACAACTTACAGCAATTGCAATAATCTGCCGTGCAACCCTACCTTTAATCAATGTCATATTTCCATCACTGGTATCCTCTTTCCCTCCTCCCTCCCGCCCTTAAAACCAAAAGAAAAAAAGCCCATTGCCATCAAGTCGATTCCGACTCATAGCAACCCTATAGGACAGAGCAGAACTGCCCCGTAGGGTTTCCAAGGAGCAGCTGGTGGATTTGAACCGCTGACTTTTTGGTTAGCAGCCAAGCTCTTAACCACTGTGCCACGCTCCTGCCCCTGGTAATGACTAATAAACTTTGTTCTCTATACATTTGCCTTTTCTTGTCTTTTTATATAAGTGAGGTCATACAATATCTGTCCTTTTGTGATTGACTCATTTCACGCAGCATGATGTCTTCCAGCTCCATCCATACTGTAGCATGTATCTAGACTTCTTTTCTCCTACTGGCTGAGTGGTATTCCATTGTACGTATGTACCGCGCTTTGTTATCCATTCATCTATTGGGATGGGCATTTAGGTTGTTTCTACCTTTTGGCTGTTGTGAATAGTACTACGGTGAACACTGGTGTATAAGTCTCTGTTTGAGTCTCTGCTTTCAAGTCTTTTGAGTATATACTTAGGAGTAGAATTCCTGGCTCATATGGTAGTTCTATTTTTAATTTTTGAGGAACTGCCACACTGTTTTCCACAACGGCTGTACCATTTTGCCTTTCCACCAGCAATGGGTAAGGGTTCCAATTTCCCCACATCCTCACCAGCATTTGTTATTTTCTGTTTTTGTTTTTCATCTTAGCCCTTCTAGTGGGAGTGAAATGGTATCTCATCCCAATGTTATCTTGAAACCCAAATTCCCAGAGAAAAAGATGGATGCTGTAAAACCTATATGTGGCAGAGTGGGGCTGGTTGTGTCCCCAGCTGCCAGCGTTTGAAGACAGCCTGTTCTTTCCTGTTGGTTCCTTCCTTTAGGGAGGCAGGCATGGCATCCAGCCTGGCTTCCAGCACATGCTCAGCTTGAGCACAGTGGGGAGTGGGTGCTGGTGGCGTTGATGCCTATGGAGGCAGTCCTGTGAGTTCACGATGTCTGGATTCTTTTGGTTGCTTAAAGTAGGAGTTAAACAGTGTCACTCCTCGGGAAATCGAGGGCAGAGTCTATCCTGAGAAACTGTCCTGCAGCTGGCTTTTCACTTCATCCAGAATGTTCATCTCTCTGAGTCTCCTTTCCCAGGGCCAATCAGTGTTACAGCCAAGATGACATTGGAGGTAGAAAACCCTGTCTGGGTGTGAGGGGGCGGCTTAGGAGCAGATGGAGCACAGGGAGGTGAAGCGAGGGAGTCGGAAGAGGCCGTGCCCTTGGTAGAAAGCAGAGCCATCCTACCAGAGCCTTTGGGGTGCCTTCCAGGGACTTCAGCTGGGGGGATGGGCACCCTTAATGCGTGTGCTGCTCTGGTCCTCACTGGCAGTGAAAATGACAACTGTCATTGATTGAGCCCAGGCCACAGGGTCTGTGCCTGAAGGGCGGTGTTAAAAGCCCTGCTCATCAGGACCCAACTTGGCTTTGGATGAGGTCTGTCAGACTCCAGAGCCTGGGCTCTTTTCCCTGTGGTACCTAGCTTTTTACAGAAGGTTAAAAGGGCCCTTTTAGGCCTCAGACAACCCCACATTAGCCTCAAAATAGGATCTGATCTAGATGCAGTTGTGGGCGATTTGCCATTGACCCCTCTGTGAGAAAAGCCTCCCTTTGCTCCACTGGCTGCCTGCGTGCCCTGCAACTTGGGCCTGCTGGCCACGTGTCAGCATCACTGCTGTCCTGGGGTGAACCCCTCAGGCCTCTTCACTCCGTCCTTGTCATTAGGTGTGCTGTGAGCCTGCCATTCGTTTCGTTTGTTTATTGTTGTAGTTTAAGTGAAAGTTTACATTTCAAGTTAGTCTCTTATACAACAATTTATACATACATTGTTATGTGACTCTAATTGCTCTCCCCATACTGTGACAGCACACTCCTTTCCACCCCTGATTTCCCATGTCTGTTCAACCAGCTCCTAACCCTCTCTGCCTTCCCATCTCACCTCCGGACAGAAGCTGCCCATTTAGTTTCATGTATCTACTTGAGCTAAGAAGCACCCTCTTCGTGAGTGTCATTTTATGTCCTACAGTCCAATCCAATCTCTGTCTGAAGAGCTGGCCTCGGAAATCATTTTAGTTGTGGGCTGATAGAGAATCTGGGGGCCATTCTTTCCGGGGTTCCTACAGTCTCAGGCAGACCATTAAGGAGCCTGCCATTCTTGACCTTGGCTGAGCAGGGCTTCTGTGGTGTGGCTCCGGATCCTTGAGCCAGAGTGCCTTGGCCCTAACCTCAAAGCGAGACCCAGCTCCCCAGGGAGCTGGCCATGGGCCTGATCTTTGCCTCCTGAAGCCAGAAGACACTGAAAAGGCTTCAAATAGATTTATTCAGTGGCTACCTCAGTTGCCATCTCCTCCCTGAAACCTGCCCTGAAAGTGTCTAAAATTAGCTGTTCTCCGTGGGAGGGATTGGGTGAGTGAATATTTATTAGGCACCTTCTGGGTGCCAGGCATCATCACATTACCTCATTGGGTCCTCACAGTGATCTGAGGGCCAGGAGGGCCAGTGACGCCCAACAGTGGTGTCTGCTTTCCGGAAGCCCAGATCTTTCCCACTCCACCAAGCATGGAGCAGCCAGGGTTGGAAGCTTCCCACCGCCAAGACACCAGGCCTGTGGGTGCAGGGACCCCACGTTCCTAAAATAAATCTCTGAGGAGGAAGTCAAATCTGGTTGGCCACAGCCCTTCCAGCCCCACTTTGCTTTCCCTGTTGCAGAGAAAGTCAAGCAAAGCGAAGGAGAAGAAGCAGAAGCGGTTGGAGGAGCGAGCAGCCATGGATGCCGTCTGTGCCAAAGTGGACGCCGCCAACAGGGTGACTCTCCCCGCTTTCCCCGTCCCTGCCTCCTGCAGCCTCAGCCTGGTTTTTAATTTGACTTCTTTTGGCGCCACTCTGTGGCAGAACTGTGTTACTGCCGCCCAAATCTGAGGGCTGTTTTTGGGGCTGTGAACTGAACCTCCAGGGTGGAGTGGGTCTGTCCAGCGTCTGCTTCCAAAGAACAGGGCTCTTTGTGCAGAACCTGCAGCTTTGCCCGCATGTTCACTTTTGCGATGACTCTTTTCTTTCCCTCCACAGCTTGGAGATCCTTTAGATGCTTTCCCGGTGTTCAAGAAATATGATCGGAATGGGTGAGTACATTTAGCATTCTTAACTGTTGTTCTTTTGAATGTCTTCAGGAATCCACCTTCCCGGAGCAGGCTTCCTCAGACGCTGCTTTTCTCATTCTTCTTCCTTGAGAAGCAGCAGAAACTGGCTAGTACCCTCCGTCGATATAAACTTCCCAGTTAGGGTGATAAAGGAATCTGTGAATGACAAGGATAGCAGTTAATCTCAGACTATGTAGGACTTTGTGTTCTCTCTAGTATAAGGAGCCCTGGTGGAACAGTGGTTAAAGCGCTCGGCTATTAACCGAGAGGTTAATGGTTCTAACCCCCCAGCCGCTCTGCAGGAGAAAGATGTGGCAGTCTGCTTCCATAAAGATTTAAAAAAAAAACAGAAAACCAAACCCATTGCCATCCAGTTGATTCCGACTCGTAGCAACCCTATAGGACAGAGTAGAACTGCTGTAAATCTTTATGGAAGCAGACTGCCCTATCTTTTTCCCACAGAGCGGGTAGTGGGTTCGAACCACAGACCCTTCGGTTAGCAGCTCAGCACTTAGCCATTGTGCCACTAGGGCTCCTTTACAGCCTTGGAAACGCTATGGAACAGTTCTACTGTGTCCTGTAGGGTCTCTGTGAGTCAGAATCAACTGGTCGGCAGCAGGTTTGGTTTTTTGGCTTATTCTCTCTACAGAGCTGAAACAAACATGGAAAAACATCTAGCCGAACACCCTTGTTTTATAGAGGGGGATACTGAGGCTCGGAGAAGTTGAATGAGATTTCTGAGCTTATGGAGTTTCCCCCGATAGATGAGGAGGCTTTTAATTCGAGTCCAGTGATCTTTCCCTGATTGTATAATTATTAAAAGCCATTTACTGGCTGTTTGACCCTGGACGAATTATTTAACGTCTCTGTGCCTCAATTTTCTAATCAGAAATGGGCCTGATCATTGTACCTTCTTTATAGGGTTATTAGGACGATAAGATGTAAAGTTTGTACTAAAAGCTGTGTAAGTGTTAGCTCATATTATTACTGTTATTGTTACTATAGAATTACAACTTACTATAGGATCTGAGTTAAAGTCTCCCTCCCCTTTTTCTGTTCTTTTGGTTTATAAAATAGGATTCCTAATCTGCCCTTCCTAAGATGCTATGGATGAGTCATTTTCCTGTAATGTAACATGTTGGCTTAGAAGGAAAAACGGGTTATGGTTTTAGGGAAACCTGGGTTTGAATCATAGCTCTGTCTCCTGTTAACTATACATATGTCCTTGAGAAGTCACTCCTCATGCCTCATTCTCTTATTGTTAAATGGGGTTATGAGGCCAAACTTGCAAAATTGTTTTCAGGAGGAAAGAGAATAAGTCTATCTACATAAGTAGCAGCTGGTAATGAGTATTCTAATGAACAAGTTGTTGTTAGCTACTGTCAGATCGGCCCTGACTCATGGCTGCCCCATGTACAATAGAACAAAATGCTGCCTACTCCTACACCATCCACACGATTGGCTGTAGATTGGATCATTGTGATCCATAGGGTTTTTATTGGCTGATTTTCAAAAGTAGATCATCAGGCCTTTCTTCCTGGTCTGTCTTGTCTGAAAGTTATGCCGAAACCTGTTCAGCATCTTAGCAACACACGAGCTTCCACTGACAGGAGTGGTGGCTGCTCATGAAGTGTATTGGCTGGGAGTTGAACCTGGGTCTCCCGTTAGAATTCTACTACTGAACCACCAATGCCTCAATGAACAAGCTAGACGAATGCAAATATGGGATTATAAAGTGAAGACTTAGCAGGTGAAAATACATGTGCCTTTCTTAGGCGTGTGAGTTTCACAGTAGTACATCAATTTATTGTTACTCCTTCCTGTCTGTGATTAGACACATTACAATCCTCTAGTAGCATTCAACTTTTAGGGGGCCCTTTGACATAGTCTAGTCTTCCCTTCCCATGAGATCTCTTATTGTTTCCATACTCCACATTCCTACTAACTTGTGGAAATATGGAACGGCTCTAAAGCAGGCATTGCCACCTGACTGGGCTTCTTTGGTCCTGGAATCTCGTGTTATTCGTGCGGCTGTGATCCCACTTTCCCATATAGAGTACTCAGGTTAATGGAGAATTTCGACTGCAGACAGCCCCTTGGAAAATATATGGCTCAGACAGACGCAGGGCTGTGTTTGGGCAGTCCTGATGAGGTTGGTACTTAGGAAGAAAGGGAAACTTCAGGGGCAGGAAGTTCAGGATTTACTAGGCTGAGCGCATGTGCCGCTTACATGGCGTGCCAGCCAGCAGAAGTGACGATATCTGAGAGCTTGTGTTAAAGGCCACAGAAGGACATGGGTCCTCTCGGAAAAGGTTGCTACCTAGAGGACATCATTTCACAGTTTGGCCAAGGGGTTTAACTGTGCTTTATTTAAATTTTATTTAGAAACAGATACCTTAACGCCTCCAGCATTTGTTAGTTTAAGAGAACAGAGCATTGGGGTGGACCCCATGCCACCCTGTTTGATCAGCCAAGCGCGTCCGCTGTGTCCCCAGCAGGCAGGACTCCTCAAAGGGGTGTCCGGCCGTGGCCTTCCTGAAGGGCCTGAGGTCGCCCAGCCAGTTCTGAAGGTGAGATTGGGCGATAACAAGGGAGAGGTCCCATGGGAGCCCAGGAAGGAGTCAGCTCAGATATTAAAGCAACAGGCAAAACACCTAAGGGCAGGAACCAAGGGAACAAAGAAGATACAAGTGTTTATGACAAAGTGCAGAAGAGATCGGGAGGGTAGAACAGAGCAGAGAAGGACAAGAAGTTTACAAAGTGCCAAGCCTGACAAGGACAGCCAAGGGGAGGCAGGAAATGGGACTGTGGTTGGGCGGTGGGCCGGGCGGTGACAGTTGTTAATCTTGCCTGAAAGGTTTCGTCCCTTCCCAGGCACTGTCTGTGGTCATGTGTGAGAGGCAAGGCCCAGTCTTGGCTTTTCTCTAGCTTAACTGAGACCCGGCAGGCCTCGCTGTTAGACTCTCAGGGAGGGGTGCGGTGCCTGTAGCGTGGCCTGAGCCCTCTCCAGACGCCTCCTTCTCTTCTCCTCAGGTTAAACGTCTCCATCGAATGTAAGCGAGTGTCTGGACTAGAGCCGGCCACTGTGGATTGGGCCTTTGACCTCACCAAAACCAACATGCAGTCCATGTAAGCATGCCCTGAAGGGAGGAGAGCCTTGTTTCCCCGGCTGGCTGCCCCCTCCCAGAGTTCCCCATCCTGACCATCCCCCAAATCCCCCAGGTATGAGCAGAGTGAGTGGGGCTGGAAGGACCGAGAGAAGCGGGAGGAAATGACAGACGACCGAGCCTGGTACCTCATTGCTTGGGAAGACCGTTCCATCCCCGTTGCCTTTTCTCACTTCCGGTTTGACGTGGAGTGCGGGGATGAAGTCCTGTACTGGTAGGAGTCAGGCTCAGGGTGGGGCAGTGGAGCAGGGAGGCCTGGTGGTCCTCTGGGTACTCCAGCCATGCAACAGAGTCCACCATGCTTATCTGGGCTCGTGGGCTGCCAGGGGCTGCAGGCCTCCTCTGCCACCCCTCACACCCTCCTCTCCGATTTCTTCATCCAGCTACGAGGTGCAGTTGGAAAGCAAGGTGCGGCGGAAAGGCCTGGGGAAGTTCCTCATACAGATCCTGCAGCTCATGGCCAATAGGTAAGGAGCACTGCTTGGGGGCCCTCAGGTGTTGCTCAGCCAGAGACACATCTGCTGTGCTCTGAGCCTCCTTGGAGGACAAGGCTCACGGGAATGCTTGGGAGAAAGGCGTGCAGAGCCCACTCAGTACACTAGCCCTGCCTTGGTGTGACTCCAGATGTCATACACTCCACTCAGGGCAGCTAGCATCTGAGGGCCTGATCTGTGCTAAGCTCTGTGCCCAAGGCATGGGATTTAGAGAGGAAGTGGAAAGGGTTTCCGCTCTAGCAGAAGTCACAGGCAGGTGGGGGCCTGATGCCCGTGCCGTCTGTGCAGCTGGGTAAGCTCCGTAACAGAGGGGAGCAACCGCATGCTTGGGTGCCTGAGAGAGGCTGGCACCAGGGCTCGGGGACACTTCAGAGGAGTGGGCGAGAGCAAGCAGGCAGAGATGGAGAGGGAGCGGAGATTCCATCTCTCTTAGAGACGCCCTCTTTGCCTTCTTCTCAGCACACAGATGAAGAAAGTTATGTTAACAGTATTTAAACACAATCATGGCGCCTACCAGTTCTTCAGAGAAGCGCTGCAGTAAGGAGCTGGGCCCTGGTGGGGGACCCTCTGGCTATGGGAGGTGCCACTTTCCTGGTTCTGTCCCCACTCATCCTGACCCCTGAGCTCACGGCATGCTCAGGATGGGCACAGGCGGCCCCGGAGCGGGGACGGAGGCTGGTGAGATGGCATGGCAGTACCCTTGGCGTGGCCCCTCACCCCCGCTCCTGCACCCTCACTCCTGGAGGCCTCCTGAGTGCGGCTGCTGGAAAAGTCTGGAACCAGGAGGAGAGCCGTCAGCTCCCTGTAGCCGGCCCTTTTCTCCCACCTCCTTGCAGATTTGAAATCGACGACTCTTCCCCCAGCATGTCTGGCTGCTGCGGGGAGGAGTGTTCCTACGAGATCCTGAGCCGCAGGACCAAGTTTGGGGACAGCCAGCACTCTCACACGGGTGGACACTGTGGTGGCTGCTGCCACTGAACTCCCAGAGCCCCTGCGAGGCAGACTGTACGCCTCAGGCCTGTCCTCTCCCCGCTCGCGCAACGCCACCGCCGCTCACCAGGTGCCCTCAGAGCTGTGGCCTCCTCAGCCCTTCACGGGCCAGGCTGCCCCCCAAAAGCACAGAACCCTGGGAAGGCGTGGTCCAGGCTGCAGAGATGCCCCACCC